CAGGGTGTGGTAGGTTTCAGACTGGTCACCTGGCTCCCGTTTAAAAGCCGCATAAGCCCAATGACTGTGTCGTGACAAAGATCGATGTGACTGGCTTTTTAAAACTTAAGCCATGGACCCCCTGATTTCCGAAGCTAGGGATTACTTCCTATTCCACCTTGTGTAGTTAGCACTTGGTTGTGTAAAGGCTAGAGGTGCGCCCTCAAAATCAAAAACGCTGAGTGATGCTGGGGACGTCTCTAGTACTAAACTCCCAAGGAACTCCATGATCTTGATGACGATCAAGTCTGGAGCCTGCTTATCTCTTCCAAGTGTAGAGGAATCACCGAAATTGCTCCACGACTATGCCCGGATAATTGCAGTATAAACTGAATGGAAACTGAATAAAAATAATAGACTGCTGTCCAAATATATGAATCAAATTAGTCACACACACTGTTTGAGGTAATAACCGGGCCCTGCTCTCTTCCTCGTACAACGGTCGTTATCCACAAAACCTTTTGTGCCTTGATCGTGTTTGTGATAGTTCTTTCAGGCAAAAATAGGCCGGAGAGAGTGAATCAAATTGGAATGGCCTACAAACAGCAAGGCACATAGGCGGTAGGATAGACGACAGACATTCATTCACACAAACCGAGAAATACGAACGTACCAGGTCATACGCTCTGATTAGATAACTATCAAGAAGCTGCAACAGAAACCTTTAACTCCATCTACTCAATCTAACCCTATGGACGGGGATTTTATATTACCAAGCAAGTGTATAACTAAGCCTATGCTGACCAGTAGCAGCCGATAGCTAATATCGAATCTCTAACCATGTAAACCGATCGATATAGATCTGTCAGTCCGAATTATTTCTTTTCTTAAACCATGAATATTTTGGCTTAGTTACTGTGTCAAATGGACCACCGAATGGGTTGTCTTCAGAAAGTTGTTCCGATAAGCTATTAGAGGCTAGCAATATACACTGTTCGAATAAATTTCACACTTGTCTGAATTCAAACAAATCACGGTACAATAATTTTCAGAGTAAAGAAATCAGTTCGTGATTGTCGTAATGAGTAATAGTTCAGGGGAACAACATTCACACAGCTGTCAGAAGTGAATAAATATCTTTTAAAATAATGTCTTACCCCCACCAGGGATGTCAAAATAATCATCGGTATATTTACCTCTCGCGCATCCAGAATCGAGGAAAAAGGCACAGATTAAAAAAATAAATAAATAAATAAAAACTGCTAGCTTTCCGGTAAAATATTGCAATGTGTGGCAAGTTTCTGACTGACTGTAGTTGTGGCATGCCGAAATACACGTTCGAAAACTTGTCTACCTTGATTCCGATAACGTCTGCATGTGTTCAACAGTTCGTATTCTATGGTTAACAGAATATTCCGGTTATCATTTTTCGTATGCTCATCATCAAACCAGAACACCTCTGATCCTTCGTCCGCCGTCGTCCGTGATCCCGGATCCACGGAGAGAGCATTGTGAATTTGTTTCTGGATCAGGCTGCTTAGAGTTGAGAATATTTTGTTACTCGTCTTCCCATCGGCGCGCTCGATCGTTGCCAGTAGTTCCGAGGCATTTGTCCCCCTAAATGGTGCTTTACCGGTGAATGCAATGTGTGCAATAATCCCCACACTCCATACATCCGAGGCTTCGGTTGGCACGAATGAATTGGCCGCCTGTTGTTCGGATACGATTGCTTTTAACTGTTCCGGGGAGAAACAGTCCATAATTGGCGGTTCTATTCGAACCAGCTGAAGAACTTCAGACCGAACACTACAATCCGGCATAATTGTCACCGATTGGGGTGACATGGATTGGAACAGGATAGTTGTGGGAGACAGGGCACCGTGTACGTAGTTCTGTGAGTGTAAAAATCGAAGTGCCTGGAAAATGTTTTGCACAACCAAACATATGTCCCGGATACGTAATTGGGGCTGTTGAAGCATCCAGTTGAACAGATCACCAAACATGCACATTTCTGTCATAATGGTGACACGATTTGATTCGATGGCAAACTCCATCATCTTGACCACGGAATTTGGTGTCAGAGCGCGTATTTTTGCCGCTTGCTGGTTAATCTTTCGCGCATAACGCTCTTTCAGGTTCTCTAGCGGAAAAGGGGCTGGTTTGAGAAAACGGAACTCGATTTTTTTTACTGCAACAGCTGCCCCAGTAGTCAGATCTCTAGCAGCGATAATTGAACTAAATCCATCATAATAAAGTTCCCGATAGATCAACAGTTTTTCTTCATCGAAGACGACTTGCGAAGAACTGGGAACAGGAGTTATCAAATTATCTTCCGTTATCGCAAGCATATTGAATGGCAAGGTCACCTACACAGTATACGTTGCTTTTTATCCAAACAGAAGCCCAAAGGACCGATGGATAATTATTGATCGGAGTCACTCACTCAATCACATGATCAAATAATTTCACCACTTGTCACATAGATTTTCCGTCCAGAAGGGATGATAATAATCTGTCGGATCCGTGTTGTACACTTTATCTCAGCTCCCAACCGACGATCTATCTACAGACATCAGTCAGTTATTGTGTGATCAGGTGATTGACCCAATATCGATCTATCCGCAAGCAAGCGACTCAATCAAAACCTCGTGTGCGCATGTTGGTCTGGCTGGTCATTGGANACACACACACACACACACACACACACACACACACACACACACACACACACACACACACACACAAAGTCAAATATGCGTCCTTGTTTTCAACTATCACTCATTGTCGCACACAGGTGTGGGGAATTCTTGTGTCTAACGATGATAATTGTGTCATAAAAATTAATAAAAAGAATGATAAATATTTTTTTCACCGTTTTTGGTAAATCGCATCGATGTATAAATGGAGGTAAATGGTACCGTAAACCATTGATAAAATATCTCACCGATTATGCTTATATATGTATATTCGCCACCGTAAGTCTCAGTATGGTCGAGATGCGTGTCTTGGGCTGTGGCTGGTCACGCACCTCATGCGAAATGCTCCCATACCACCAAGTGTC